AGGCTTCCCGCGGAGCAGGGAGCCCGATGCGGGGCTCGATCCCAGGACCCTGGGATCATGACCTGAGCCGAAGGCAGACACATAACGACTGAGCCACCCAGGCGCCCCGATGCAGTCACTTTTATCGATGGCGTGGGACTCCCTCGGGCAGGCTCGCTGTGGTCCATCTGGTCCTGCAGTGGAGGGCCATTTGGGTTGTGTCTGATTTTCCACTGTCACACGGCTGTTATAATCCATCTGTTACAGACCTCTTTAGGTACCTGTGGTTTTCTGTGGGGCAAAGCCCAGATGTGGCGGTCCCATGTCTCGGGCACATCTGGGTTTTGCCAGTCTGGTCTCAGAAATGGCTTAACAGCCACAGTACCTGCCAGCGGTGTAATCGTGTGTGTCCTTACATGTCGCCAAGCGCAAGGCATCGGTAACTGGACGTTAGTAACCCTTTTAATCTATGTTATCCGTTCTTTCATGTTTCTTTGATTATTAATAAGGCTGCATGAATTTTCATGTTATTGGCCACTTGTTGGCGCAAAGCCCTTGAAAACGCCTCTCCCCTGAGTCCTTTTCATCTCACCCGTCCAACTAATGGTTCTAAAACGCACCTCTGGGGGCGCCCAGCTGGCTCAGTCGGAGGAACATGAGACTCTTGATCTCAGGGTCATGAGTTCGAGCCCCACGTTGGAGGTAGAGATTACTCAAATAAATAAACCTTTAAAAATAAATAAATAGGGCGCCTGGGTGGCTCAGTTGGTTAAGCATCTGCCTTCGGGGTGGCGCCTGGGTGGCTCAGTTGGTTAAGCGACTGCCTTTGGCTCAGGTCATGATCCTGGAGTCCCGGGATCGAGTCCCACATTGGGCTCCCTGCTCAGCTGGGGGTCTGCTTCTCCCTCTGACCCTCTTTCCTGTCGTGCTGTCTCTCATTCTCTCTCTCTCAAATAAATAAAATCTTTAAAAATAAATAAATAAAAATAAAAATAAATACATAAAAAATAAAACGCACCTCTGACCTCGTCACCCAGCTGCCTGAAACGTTCCCTCGCTCCCACTGCCCTTGAGGTAAAGACCAAACTTTGTTTCGTGGCCGGCTGCCACGCACACTTTGCCCTGTCCAGACTGAAGGGCTCAGGCTTTATTTATTTATTTTTTTAAAAGATTTTATTTATTTGAGAGAGAGCGAGCGAGCGGGGGAGGAGGGGCAGAGAGACGGGCAGACTCCCCACTGAGCGGGGAGCCCGCCGCGGGGCTTGATCCCAGGACCCTGAGCCGAAGTCAGATGCTTATCTGACTGAGCCACCCAGGCGCCCCGAAGGGCTCAGGCTTTCAGTGTATACCCATACCAGACTTTCTCCCTGATCTGGGCCTTTGCTTGGTCCCTCCACACCTGGAACACTGTTGCTCAATGCTGTTGTCGTTCAACTACTATATTGTAAATACACACGCGGGAGTATAAATTATATATCTATAGGATTTAATGAATGAAAAGGTGAATCCCTGTGTACCCAGCATCAAGGCTAGGAGGTGGGACTTACACCAGTGTCTAGAAGCTCCCTGGTCCCCTTTCCTTCCCCTTCTCCTTGGTTCCCCGTCTTTTAAGTCCCTGCTAGCCACCTCGTCCCCAGGAGGGCTTCGCCAAGAGCCCTTGGGTTCACCCCGCCAGCGTGGCCCCATGACCCGGCATCCTGTTGACAGGATGCTCTCTGTCACTGCTCGCTGAGCTCCCTGAGGGCCAGGACTTCAGCTGCCCCAGCACAGGTGTGTGCCTGGCCCAAGGCCTGGTGTGGGGCGGGTGCTCCGTAGTGTTCACAATTACTCTTCCAGCAGCTGCTGTTTACCCAGCAACGAACCCGGCGCTTTATTCGCGTTTCTTTACTTCTAGTAGCTCTTTTGGTCCTGACTGCAGTCTCCACTCGGTAGATAAGGAAACCGAGCCTGGGGAGGGCCAGGGGCTTGCCCGGATCCCTAAGTGAGGGAAGGGCAGAGTTGGCATTTGAACCCAGGTTGGCCTGACCTCAGCTGTGCCCTTGGCCTGTTCTCAGGTTCTCTGTGGCCTCCCAAGACAGTGAAGGAACAAACAAGTGAAGGAAGGGCAGGTGAGGCTAAAGTGGGTGTCAGGCGCTTAGCAGATGCCTGTTCTCTGTGGCTGCTCCCCAAGGGGCCTGGGAGATGTGGCTGTCCTCGCTCTGCCTCCACCCCAGTGTGGGATGTAGGTTTCGTGAATGGCTGGGTAGCAGCTCTGGAGAGTGGAGCCTGCACTCAGCCCTGGGACCAGCGCAGGGATGAGTGCCCTGTCAGACTGTTGCAGGCAGGCGGAGCCGGGGCGCCCCCCCTGGGAAGGTGCTTGTTCTGTGGGCAGCACCTAGGCTCTGAACTTGCGAGGTCAGCCCCTGTCGTCGCTGTGTGTCCACGGGCCAGACCTGCGCCCTCTCCAAGCCTCCTCTCCTCATGCGTTCGTGGGCGTGTCTCTGGGGACCTCATGAGATGGTGTCAGACATGCTTGGCCACCAGCCGTCATCTTCATCATCCTCCTTTACATGTGAAGAAACTGAGGCTCGGGGGATTAAGGCGTGGTCTGGGCTCATCCTAGCAAATTCTCTTTAAAACTTAATGAAAATAGGTGGGTTTTTTTTAATGATTACAAAAATATTCATGCTCATTTTAGCAAAACCCAACAGACACATAAAAACAAGAAGAAAACTTGTCCCCCATTCCACCGTGTTCACATTTTGGTGAACACCTGTCTGGTGGCCCCTCCACCCAGGGTTCTGTGTCAGCTCCATCCTCCCTGGCTCTTGGGCACATCACTGATCTCCCAAAGCCTCAGTATGCCTTTCTATAAAGTGGGTGTACTAGTGAACTGTCCCTCTTAGTACTGCATGAGTTAGATGTGTTGATCCATATGAGAACAGACACTGGCCCCCCCTCAGCTTCCCTCATCCGTGAGTGCACATCCGCGTGTGCACAGCGTATCACAAGCCACAGCTGAACCTCCCGGCCCCAGAGAGCGCAGGATCTATCCTGTGTGCCGAGTAGCGGCAGGTGTTAGACACTATTCATCGTCAAGGTCCAGGCACCGGGCTGATTGTGTTACGTGCATGAGCTCACTGACTCCCCCAGAATAGGCCCAGGAGTGTGGGCCATAGCTTCTCCCATTTCACCAGTGACACCCAGGGGCATGGAGATTTTAATCTTTGGCTGCTTGACTCCACCTCCTGTCCGCACACATCTTTGCAAAGTGAGCTCATGCTGTCGTGTGTGTGCATCTCTTGGGAGGCATTTGGTACTCAGCTGTGAGTTGGTCTGAGACGTTGCGGGGTGTGCTGTTGTCGGATCTCTCCTGGACGTGCCCCGGTCTCTGAGAGGCACGTTGCTGTGGGCAGAGGACACTTCTTGCCCGGTTTTCTCCAAGGCCGCCACTCAAGGATCGACTTCAGCTTGTCTTGTCCATCCACAGGCCTGTTCCTGTGGATCTCGTCCAAGTGAGTCTTGGAGCCTCTCTCATGACCAGAACAGGCTGTGCTTCTCCCCACAGAGCCCCAAAGGCTTCCTGGAGAGTTATGAGGAGATGATGGTCTATGCCCTGCGGCCCGAGACCTGGGCCACCACGCGACTGGAGCTGGAGGGCCGTGGGGTGAGTTGGTTTATGCTGAGCCCCAGTGCCGTGGGGTCCCTTGTACCTGAGATCCTCGAGCAAGGAGGGGGGTGCCTGTGCGGAGCTCTGCCTTGATTCCGAGGCCTGAGATGGGCCCATCGCTGCTGCGAGCCTTTGGTCCCTGCCCTGCTGTGGGCCCCGGCTGTGGGGGACACAGCCCCAGCTGCAGCCCATTGTGGCCCGGAGATGTGCCCACTCACCCGTGCGTTCCCACCCAGGCCCTCACGCACCTGCACCTCTCTGGACTCGGTCTTCCCATCTGGACAGTGGGCCTGCAGCCTTCAGAGCATCCCTGCCCTCTCACAGGTGGTGTGCATGAGCTTCTTCGATATTGTGCTGGACTTCATACTCATGGACGCCTTCGAGGACCTGGAGAATCCTCCATCCTCGGTGCTCGCCGTCCTGAGGAACCGCTGGCTGTCAGACAGCTTCAAGGAGACGGTGGGTGGCTGCCCTCTGCATCCAACACACACACTCATGTCACCCCATGCCTTGGCCCAGCCTCTGCTTTCCTTTGGGCACCTAGCCTGGGCCCCCCACCCAGCAGGCAGCAGTCACCCCACTGGGCGGGTTCCTCTCCCCTGCGTGATGTGCGGCTCCTGAATCTGGGCAGACCAGGCATCTGCTCTGCAGCAGTTTCCTAGGGGACCCCGTTGTTCTCTGCACCCCTGTAGAACCTGCATGGTGGGCGTTGTCCTTCTGCATTGTGGTCTCCGTTAATTCTACTCAGTTTTAATGCATCTTACTGAGTTAAAACAGGAAAAAGAAAGGAACAGCAGGGGAAGTTGAGTGTGGGGCCCTGTGGGGCAGGCGTGACCTGGGGCTGGTCTTCACGCAGTTTGCAGGCGGTGACCGTGGACCCCCACAACCTCTGAATGTGGTGGGGGTGCGGGGTCATGGCCATTTTACAGAGAAGGAAACTGAGGCCTGGAGAAGTTCAGTGGCTGGTCCAGGGGCCCCAGAGCAGTGTTAGAATCAAGTTCAGGTTTAGGTGTGGCCAGTTCCTAACTGAGGGGAGGGAATCAGCAGAGCTCAGGCACCAAGCCGCATCTTTCTGCTTGGGGTGGTGGAAGCTGGGGGACACAGATAGAGGCTGCAGGCCCGGCCTGTCCTGCTGATACCTGGGTGGGGTCCCATATTTGGTTTAGGCTCTGGCCACTGCTTGCTGGTCAGTCTTGAAAGCCAAGAGGAGACTGCTGATGGTGAGTGACCCCCTCGGGCCCTGGGCATGGTACCCACCTCAGCTGACCCACCGGCATGCCCTGGCCCTTGGTCTGGGGGCAGGGTGGGGTGGGGAGGGGTGGGCAGAAGAATGGGGCTGGTGCAGGGAGGTCTTGCTAAGCCCCCAGGCCCTGTCGTACCTCTTGGCCCCTGCCACAGCACTGGCCACCTCTCCTGCCGTTAGCTCTCCCTTGACCAGGAGGACCTCAAAGACACACATAGGTCTGCTTCGTCTCCTCCCCAGGACCCCGCACAGCATGGGCCATCAGGAAATGTGGAAGAACTCAGAGGGGAAAGGGCATCCTTGAGGGAGGAAGGGCCTGCGCAAAGGGGTGGCAGCTGGCTTGGTAGAGGCATCTGGTGGGGGCAGGGTGCCCCGGGAGCAGGCAGAGCAGCCTCCCTCCCGCCCCCAGGCCGCTGTTATCTGCCCTCCCAAGCGGGGACTGGTTGCTCTATCTGGGTGCGATCCATTGCTCCCCTCTGCCAGCCAGGCTCTGCTGCCTGGCTAGTACCAGCTGCCACTGCCAAGTACGCTGGGCACTTCCGGTGCTGAGCCCACCCCGCCCCCTCCTCGTGCAGTCCTCACAGCGACCTCGAGGTTACCCCCATTCTGCAGAGGTGGAGGCCCCTGTCACTTGCCTGGGGTCACCCAGCAAGCACGTGACTGAGCCAGGCCTCCCTCCAAAGCCCAGCTCTTCGCTAGGCCCCCAGGGCCCGGCCGCCTTCCCCAGCTGGCGTCCCAGCCCTCAGCTTCGCTACCTTTGCAGGTGCCTGATGGCTTCATCTCCCATTTCTACTCCGTATCGGAGCACGTTAGCCCCGTCCTAGCCTTCGGCTTCCTCGGACCCAAGCCCCAGCTCTCGGAAGTCTGTGCTTTCTTCAAGGTAAACGGAGTGCGTGGCCTGCTTGGGCTGTTCGGCGCACGCGGGTGGGGGGTGGGGTGGGGGGGCGGTGCCTGGAAGGAGGCCGGCCCACAGGGGTCCGCAGGAAACACTGGGAGGGCGGAGCCTGTGGACGGGGCGGGGCTCCGGTAGCCAGGGCGGGGCTCTGGGTGGTCTGGGGGGCCTCTGTGCTGGGGGGACGGGGCCCGAATCCCGGCCAACGCCAGCCTTGCCCCCCAGCACCAGATCGTGCAGTACCTGAGGGACATGTTCGACCTGGACAACGTGCGCTACACCTCCGTGCCGGCCCTGGCAGACGACATCCTGCAGCTGTCCCGGCGCCGCAGCGAAATCCTGCTTGGCTACTTGGGGGCGCCAGTGGCCAGCAGCGTGGGCCTCAACGGGGCACTGCCCCGAGAGAACGGGCCCCTGGAGGAGACGCAGTAGCGGCGGGTACAGGCTTGGGGAAGGGGACTGCCTGGGCCTCGTCCGCGTGGCCGTGAGGCCGTCTCCTCCCCTCCTTTGGGTTGGCATTGAATGGCCTGGGGATCCATGGCCATCAGCAGGGGCAGAATCTGGGCCTGGGCGGCCAAGGGTGATTGCCCCTGACCTTGTCCCTCCTCATCATTTGGGAATCCCTGCCAACTGCCTTGGAGAGGGTTGGAGCCCATGGGAGCCTGCCTGACTGCCCTCAGCTATCCCTGGGGGAGGCGGCAGCTGGACCAGTGACCTGCGGGGCCCGAGGGAGAGGAAGGTGGTGGGAGAGAGGGGTATTGTGAGGAGAGGTGGGACAGGCAGACCTGGGATGCCCTTGGTTTGGGACCCCAAAACCTCCCCCCACCCCAGGGCTGCTGATGAGGGGGGCTGGGAGGGTAGAGGTGGAAGATGGGGGTGGCAGAGCTCTGGGGTGAAGGCCACGATGTCCTGAGCTAGAAGGAACCTGGGCTAGATGGTCTCTGGCTGCCCAGTCCCGCTGGCCCCCACCCCTGCCACCACCCTAGAGTTTGCAGCTCCAGAAAGGGAGGGTGGGGTCACAGAGTGCCTGGGGAACACTTTGGGAGGTGGCAGGCCTGGACCATCCAAGGGTGGGACAGGCCGGGTCTGCTTCCCTTGTGCTCAAGTCTGGGCAGGGACTGGGCCCTTGGCAAACCCAAGCACGAAACCAGAATGCTGTCTTCTGACGTGCCCTCATCCTGCCAAAGACTGTCATTTCTCTTCCCCTTTTGCCACCACCAAAGACGGAGGAGGTGGGGCTGGTCCTCCCGCCCACCCACCTGCCTCTGTGAGCCTGGACCCCCCTGGGTGGTGCTAGGGCTGAGCTGGAGGCTCTGACCAGGGCTCATCTCAGGCCTGTCGCCTGTGCTGCCATTGGTGGGGGCCCAGGGATCACATCAGGGAGGTCAGAGGACACACAGGGCTGGACCGAATCCCCTGCCCTCATTAGGACAGGAAACTTTGCCGGGCGCTTTGCCTTTGGCTCGACGCACAAATGCTCTAGCTGTGCAGTGGCTGGTCCTACAGCTGTCCCCACATTGTCCCCATATTGTCCCCGTGTCTGCGGGGTGCTGTCAGCCCTGCAGACTTACTTCTCTCACAGTGTTTTCACCGGAGGTTGGATGTTTTATTTATTGCCTTAACACTTTATTTTGAGGTTCTGCCCCTTTCAGGCCGAGAAGCCTCCCAGAGACACTGAGGCCTCTTTGGTCTCCGTACTCCGGAGGACTGGCTCCCCAGACCAGGGCCCCTCTCCCCTGAAAGGCAGAGGGGTCCCGGGAGGGAGTGAGAGGAGAAGCAGAGAGGGGTGGTGTGGGCCCGGCCCATCAGCTCTGAGCTCACTCCCCCTACCTGCACGCTCCCTCCTGTTCCCCAGACTGGGGGACCCAGTGTTGAGCCAGGGCTCCGGCTGCAGCCCCCGCCCTCTGAGGTTGGTGTCCAGGAAGGAGCAGCCTCCTGGGTGGGAAGGCCTGGGGTGGCCCTCCTCCCCTCCAGCCCCACATTCCATTCATTTGCACTTACCCTGCGCTATGAATGTCATCTTGGGCCTGGGCCCCGGCCACTCTGATTTGCTCGCAGATCACTCAGAGTGGCCTTTTCATCTTGTCTTTGTTTACACGTCCATGCACTGCCTCGGGCACTTGATTTGTTGCAGCTTCCAACTTTTGTATGGTAGAGTGTGTGTGCATCGACTTCCAAATAAATGATTTAAACAATGTCCTTCCGGGGCGCCTGGGTGGCTCAGTCAGTTAAGCGTAAGCGTCTGCCTTTGGCCTGGGATCGAGTCCCGCATCGGGCTTTCTGCTTGGTGGGAATCTGCTTCTCTCTCTCTCTCAAATAAATAGATGGGATCTTTAAAAAAAAGTTGAAAAACAATGTCCTGCCACATGGCCATGCTGATGGGTACATGTGTGGTCATTTGCTTCCTGGGCGACCGCTGGGGACTCGCTCTTTGGGGTGCAGTGGGTGGAGTTTCCAAGAGGGCAAAGGTGGAGGGAAGCCTGGTGGGGCCTGGGAGCCCCCTTGGGGCCACTTGGCAGCCTGGCAGGTTCAATGGGTCCTGAGGCAAGGAGAGCCCTCAGGATGGGGGGGTCAAGTGGGTGGGTGGTCAGCACAGTGCTTAAGGGCATAGATGGGGGGCAGCCTGGGTGTGGATCCAGCTCAGGCAGCATCTAGGTAAGGTCGCTTCTCTCTGGGCCTCAGTGTCCACATCTGTAGGATACAGTGGTTGGACCAGCTATGGGGGCAGCAGGCAGGCTCAGGTTCAGTCCCCGTAGAGCCGGGGTGAAAGCCTGGAATGGGTAGGAATGGATCAGATCCAAGCTGTCCAGATCAGATGTTTTCACAGGCCTCGGGAAGTTTATTGGAAAGGTACTCAAACCTTCACTTTGAAAATTTTAAATGTACAGCAAAGTTAAAAGGAAAATCCTAAAAAGATCACTTATCAAACCAACACCTTGAATCATTAATTTACATTTTGCCATATTTACTTAATGTAAATATTTCTTCTCTAAAATATTTCAGAGTGTCAGACACATACTTCACCCCTAAACACCTGAACAGGCAGATCTTAAATAAGGTAGCTTTCCGGCATAACCACAACGCCATAATGCCTAGGAAAATATTATTGGTAACTATTACCTGCTAGGATTCTGAAAAAAAAAAAAAGCTTCTCCTGATCGAATGGAGGTGGCCAGTTCCACCTGAAGAAGAGGACAGATGCTTGCTTTTATTGTTCCCTTTGCTGACCTGATCCGTACCTCCAATGCTGGCAAATAAGTATGCATTCAGCAGTTTTATTAAGGTACAATTTGTATGCTATAAAGTGACTTGCTTTAATGATTTTTTATTTTTTAAATTTTTTATATATATTAAAAAAATTTTTTTAAGTTGGCTCCACCCCCGCGTGGAGTCCAAAGCGGGGCTTGAACTCATGACCCTGAGATCTAGACCTGAGCTGAGATCAAGAGTCAGACGCTCAACTGACTGAGCCACCCAGGTGCCCCAACTTTAATGATTTTTTTTTTAAAGTAAATTTATAGAGGTGGGCAACTGTAACCACAATATAATTTTAGAATAGTCCCATAACCCCAGAAAGACCCCTTGTGCCCATTTGCAGTAAATTCCCCAGCCCCCAGGGCCCCACTCATTTATTTTCTCTCTCAACTTGCCTTTTCTGGATATCTCCTGTAAATGGAATCATAAATATGTGGTCTTTTGTGCTTGGCTTCTTTATATAGAATCATATTTTTGAGATACATCCATTTTACGGCATGTCTCAGTATTTTATTTTTCAGTTGCTGAACAGCATTCTGCAGTGAGTTTTTCCCCTTCTTTTTTGCACACCAGTATGGATTCACGAGTTTTGATTTATTTCATAATTTATAGTCACTTGCAGTCATTCTTCTGATGCTCAAATGGTCACAAAGTTGACCACCAGGAGTCCCTTGGAGTTGACTCCTGGGTCTATTTGACACCCCCTGCCCCATCAGTCTTCAAGCACTCCCTTCCAGTGTAAGATGTCCCAGGAAGCTCAGAATCCCAGAGACCAGGGCTGGGAAGGCTGAGGGGAACCCTGGCCCATTTCTGTGGCAGACAGTAGACTGTTACAATCATGGCCCCCACAAACGATGCCTCTTGGAATCCATGTCCTTGTATGGGCCTCGCCCATATCAGCTCTGGGCTTGGCTGCGTGACCTACTTTGGCCAGTGGGACAAGAGCAACGTGATGCAGGCAGAGGTTTGAGCACTGGAGCTTTGGGACTTGCCCTCTTGGAAAGTAGCTGCTGCCATGAAGGAGACTGGGGCTCCTTTGCTCGGGAGGCCATGTGGAGAAGAGCGTGGGCACCCTGGCCCAGACTTGGAGGAGGCTGCTCGGACCACACAGGCCCAGTAGAGACCCCAGCAGAACCGCCCAGCTGAGCCCAGCCAAATTGGCCAATCTTGAGCAATAAAATGGTGACGGTTTTAAGGCATTACGTTTTGGGGCTGGCTTGTTAGACAGTGGTAGATGACTGATTCCAAACCCCTTGTTGATCAAAGGGGAGATCGCAAGGGGAGGGGTGACCACCCCAGTGCGGACAGTGAGTCCGTGGCAGTCCTGGGATGGATGCCCAGGTCTCCTGAAGCCACGCCCTCTGTCCTTCACCTTGGAGTTGTCTGTATTTACATCAGCTCATGATCAGCGTCCGGGCTTCTGTTACACGAGACTGATTGCCGCACAGCATGAGGAGGGGTGCGGATGGCGAGATGGCGAGATCTCACACCAAGTGCTCAAGAAACAGTGGTTTGAATTACAACATAAATGGCCCCCAGGACGTATACACAAATGTGAGAAGACATTCATTTGTTCACCAAGTATTTATTCTGCACCTGCTGTGTGTGCCAAGCACTGCTCCCAGCACTGCACGGGCAATGGCCGATGTGAGAGCTGCCTGTGTATCTCTTTTCTACTCTCCGTTCAGGAACATCACAGTGGTAGCTTGGAAGTGGCCACAGGGGAGAGTATTCACACCACGGAAATCAGAAAATGCCACCAGCACAAGGGATGAGCCAGACAATTGGTCTCGAGGACTTGGCACCATGGTGCTTGTAACTCCAGACCCTGGCTTCTAGAATGTTCTGTTCTAGGAGACAGGCAATAAATGGCTCCTCCCAGAGGTTTTGGAGCCAAAACGTGACTTCTAGAATGGCTCCTCTCAACCAAAATGTCACTTCGAGTTTGAGGCCATTGGTCTTTTTTTTTGTTTTAATTTTGAGTAAACTCTACACTGCACATGGGGCTCGAACTCATGACCCCGAGATCAAGAGTCACGGGCTCTACCGACTGAGCCAGCCGGGCGCCCTGAGACCATCTGTCTTTGTAACTGGCATCTTTGGGCTCCAGGAATCCCACAGCCTCCACTGGAATGAATTCCCTGAGGACGGCACACCACTGGTCACGTTCCCTCTTCATCCCTGATGCCCATTCCCGGTCTGGCACTGGCTGGGAACTTCGTTGCTAAAGTGAACGAAAGAACCTCTCATCCAGCGGGCAGCAGCAGATACATTTTGGGGAAACAGGCCCAGAGATGGAGATTTTCCTACAGGACTTTGAGCACAAACCAGTGCAGGTGGGGTACAGGGCCCTGGCAAATGGGGGGACAGTCAAGAGCCTCACTTGTCCTCAGCTATAAACTGGGGGCATTCAGCACTGCCTTGCACAGTGTTGTGACAACAGGGCGAGTGACTAAGAGTGGGGCACCTTCCAGTTTGCTCAGAGTGATACCAGGGGCCCTGCTGGTCCACTTCTCAGCTCAGGGAGGAGGCAGGTGGTTCCTGCAGCCTCCCGTGCATCTCCTTGCAGCATGCACATCCGTGCTGCCCAGCCCCCTGTCCACTTGGCAGGTTGGACCTGTCACCTCTGCCATCTCTGGGACCCTTCCATGTGCTCCCACGCACATCTCCATCGGAAATGTCCTAATCGGCCACCAAAGATATGCACAATGTTCTGAGCAGCACGGTTCACACTCCCCAAACCCAGAAATACCCCAAATGTCCACTGAGAGTCGAATGGAAAATAAAGTGTGGTGTGTGGTGTGTTTACACCATGGAATGCTACACAGCGAGAGTGAACAAATTAGAACTAGAGGCCACAGCATGGATAAATCTCGAAAACACAATGCTAGTGAAAGAAGCCCCATGCAAAGGGTAACTCCTGTAGGATTCTGCTTATAGAAAGTACAAAATTCAGACCCACCTAATGTATGGTGTTAGAAATCAGGATGGCGGTCACCCTAGGGTGACTAGACAGGGTGTCCGGGGCACCTCAGGTCCTGGTTTTTGGTCTGAGGGCTGCTTACATAGATGTGCTTCATTTGTGAAACTTCATCAAACTGTACACATCTGATTTCTGGAATTTCCTATATGAATATTTTAATTTTTTTTTTTTTTTAAGAAGCAAAGCCCAACCAAACAACCAACCCACCCTTCAGAGCTCCGCTTTGTCCTCACCACTGGTGGTGGTCCTCAAAGTCTGGGGTTGCCAGGCCCCTGCCAGTCCCCCTCTCCCAGCATCTGTCCCCCTCCCTATCTCTTGCCCTTTCCACCCAGCCACACTCCGGGGTCAGGACACTTGCTTATGCTGCTCTCTCTGCCAGGAAAATCCCACTCTGGATAACACCCTCTCATTTTATAGTTCCTTGCCCTTGTCACTTCCTCCAGAACACTCTCCCTGAGGTGAGAGGGCTCTGGAGTCAGATAGGCTTGGGTTTCAGGGGCTCTGTGTCTCTAGGCCTATTTGCTCATCAGTGAAATGGCTGCCAACCAGGGAGGGGCAAAGCAGCCAGGCTCAGGACGGCTGCCCTGTGCCAGGGAATTATTCTGGGAAACTCACAGCCCCCTCCTCACACCTCCTGCTTCTCACAGGCTAATAATGACAGCGCCTGAGGGAGCAAAGTGCAGGTGACAGGGAGATGGAGCTAGCTGACCCAGACAAGCCCAGGCTGGGCCGGGTGGGAGCTGAGTACAGTTGAGAGGGTCCTGGGGGCCCTCCTGGCTTGCTGGTGGGTTGAGCCACCACCATCCCCCCCTACCCCTGACTCCTCAGCCCAGCCCACGGTTGTGGCTCCCATGGTTGTGGCAGAGTGAGCCACTCTGGGCGGTGAAAACTTCTGCTTTATTCTCACTTCTCACAAGGACTTAGACTACTTATTGAGCACTTGTTCTAGCGCTAGTCTGGGCCAGGCTCAAACACGTGACAGGCCCTGTTTTTTTGTTTTTTAGATTTTATTTATTTGAGAGAGAGAGCGCGCACGAGAGCAGGGTGAGGGGCAGAGGGAGAAGCCGACTCCCCACTGAGCAGGGAACCAAATGCAGGACTCGATCCCGGGACTCTGGGATCATGGCCTGAGCAGAAGGCAAATGGTTAACCCACTGAACCACCCAGGCGCCCCCAGGCCCTGTCTTCATGTTGCTCAGGCTTCTCCACGTGTGGCTGGACCTACTTATATTAGAACCCCTAGAGCACATAGAAATGCAGACTCCACGGCTCTGACTCAGATCTACCGGATCAACCCAGGCCCCAGTGGGACCCAGGAAGCTACATTTCTACAAGCTGATCTTGGTGCTGCATGAAGTCAGAGAACCACTGCTTATTGGGAGACAGACAAGGAACCAGAAATGGTCCAGCGTGATCAGAGCTGAGGTAGAAGAGGAGATGCAATGGGAACCCAGTTGAGGCCTCTCAGCTGGCCATGGAAACCTCTCAGTGAGAACAGACACTTGAGCCAGACTCGGGGCAGACACCTGAGCCAGGCAAAGAGGCAGGAGGGGAGACGCTTTCCACGCAGCAGAACAGCCTGTGCCAAGGCTGGGAGACAAGAGGGCCGGGCATCTTGGCTGAGCTGAGTAATTCAATCTAGCCGGAGAGACAGTGGGGGCAGGAGACGGAGAGGCGGGTGGGAAGGTGTGGCTGTTTACGCGGGGCCTTATGGCCACTGAGAGGAATGTTTCGGGGAAACAGGTGTAGGTGGAAAACTGGCTTCTTGTTTAAAATGCTCCCAAGATGCCTAAAGCAGAATAAATGTGACTGAATCAAAACATCTTTGTTAATTCAGTGAAAGAAGGAAGGAACCTTCCTCAACTTCAGCTAAGCTTCCATTCTGTAAAACATTTAGGGCACCGACTGTGGTTCGATTTGGGTTCCCTCCTGCACCCCACACACTTTTAACACAAGTGTTGTTGGCTTTGTGCCAACGGATCTTTGGCCTCATTGTACTCATAACTAAAAGTCGGTCGGCTCAGACCCCAACGTGCCGAGGCTGCCTCCCCGTCCGAGGGTGCGTTCTGACGGGAGCCCAGCTCCCGCCAACCCCGGCCGGGCCTGGGGTATTGGGGAAGCCTCCACTCCGCGCAGGTCCCAGCCAAACCAAAGCTCCCACCAAACTTCAACACGCCCCCCAAGCTAGCTCCTGATTGGCCCGCCCTGCTCACACTGTGAGCCCGCTTCGCCTTGTGATTGGCTGTTCTGCTCTCTGTTGTGTGCTCGAACCCCCCTCTTTTCTGATTGGCCAGGCTCCTACCTGTGCTCGCCCTGGATTGGGCGCCGGCTCGGTCGGCTCGCATGCTCCGGGGCCCCGCTCTCTGATTCGCCGCTCGGGTCAGCCTCAGGGCCGGCACGCTAAATGGCTGCGCCGCTACCTGTATCGGCCTCCGATTGGGCACGCGGCGCCTCCCCGGCGTGATAGGTCAGGACCACCGCCCCCCTGGCTTCCCATTGGCTGCTCGGCGAAGCCCGGTCTCCGGGTAAGATGGCAGCGGACGGACAGTGCTCGCTCCCCGCTTCATGGCGGCCGGTGACCCTCACCCACGTCGAATATCCTACAGGTAAAAGGCGGCCCCGCCTCGGAGGACGCCTTCCTGGGGCCGGCCCGTCAGCCCTGGGCGCTCCGGCCCGCGCGAGCCCGCGGAGGGGGCGCCGGGGAACCGGGGTGGGAACTGTCAAATAGTGAGCCTTGGAGGGGTTCGGCCGGCGCGCGCGCCGCGCAGGCGCAGTAGTGCGGCGATGAGCTGGGCGAAATTGTGAGCGGCTCTTTCGCGCACTCTGCGGCTGCGCGGCCGGGCCGCTCCCCCGGGTCCCGGGACGCTGGTGGGCTGTAATGGGGCTGGGGTCTGCGTGAGGCGGGAATGGATGACTGGCCTGGACCTGGGCCCTTCTTCCCTGACCTCCCTGGAGGCCAAGAGGCCAGACTCCCTCCTCGGCGTGCAGGGAGTGCTTCTTTCCTTCAGTCACCGCTTTTAGGCTGCAAAGAGCTCCCCACTGCTGGGAGTGTGTAAACCGAGGCCGGGAAGTTATTCGTTGTTTGAGTACTTGTGCCCCCTGAGCAGGGCACTGCCCCACAACAGAGGGGGCCGTGTTAGGGGACTGGCAGCCCGTGGGATCTGACTTCTGGAGTTCCCCAATCAGATACATCTCTAGAAGTGCAGGTTTTTCCAGCTGAGAGGTCCTTTAGCGACCATTCTGGAGGCTAGTAGAGTGGTGCAGAGCTTGGGCCTTTGGGTCAGAAGTATCTGGGCTCCAGTTCAGGCTGAGACCTGGTGCAAATGACTTCACCTCTCTGTGCCTCCTTTAGTTCATCTCTAAAGTGGGACTGATCACAGTGCCTTCTTTATAGCGGTGATGTGAGAAATGCTGAGTGCGATGCCTGGCACACAGTAAGCATTCAATATGTAACTGCAGTGAATATCACCTCACCTTTCCAGGATCCCCTCAAGCCCACCCCACCCTCCCCGAGTAGGATGATTGGGTGTTGGGTGAGACTGGGGGCCCCTCATTGAGCCCTGGTTGCCCTGAGAAGGGCCTGCTCATGCTGTTCTTGGTCGCAGAGTTATGAGTAACTGGCCCCGCTGAGGGCCCCAGGGCTGGATGCCTGGGAACTTTGACCCTAGGTGTTCTCGGTTATAGTGGGGGCGGGGTGGCCCTGCCAGGCCTGTGCCCTGCCTGCCTGCCCACCATTTATGCATCATTCATTCAGCCAGTATTCACTGAGCACCTCCTGAGTGCTAGGCCCTGAGCTAGGTCTGGGTTTAGAATGGTGAACAGACTTCTGCCCTATGGACTGTGAAAAAAACCCCACTTTACAGGAGGGAAACCGAGGCCTGGAGAGGGGAAGGGACTTGAAGGCCTCAGCACTTTCATATTTCCCCTCCCTGGCCTCAGAGTAGCTTCTCTGAGCGCTCACAGACCAGAAGAAGGAACCTGGCGTTCGTGAGCAGCATGACACAGGCTGTGACAAGGGACCCTTTGCAGGGTCTGTGAGTGCCTGGAGGAGGGACCTGGGTGAAGCTGGGGGCCTCGTTTGAGGTCTAGTCCTTTGTTAACTCTTCTGTGGCCCCTTTTGTGCCCTCACCACACTTATCCTTGCTTCCTTCGTCCCTTCTCTACTCATGTGGCGTCGTTTTTGAGCCTAGTTAAGTGCCAGGTGCTGTGCTGGGCTTGGGGGATTGAGCAGGGTATAGCGACCCCACCCCTAATCTCCTGGAGCCTACTGTGGAGAGGGAGAGACAGATACCGGCCCCATAGCTACACTAGCGAGTGCATCATGAGCCATGCCCTGGTTACAGATTCCCCCACAGACTGAGAGCTCTGCAGTGGCAGGAATGTGTCTTTTTTTTTTTTTTTGCCACTATGGTGGCTGCTTAATTTATGTTGCATTAACCCATATGGCATCTCAGTTGGGGGAGTCTGTGTGTGCGAAGGTCCAGAAGTGGGACAGGGCAGGGAGCACTCAGGGAACTAGAGTTCTGTTCCTGGGGACTGGAGCAGAGGTGGGAGGGAAGCAGGGCCAGGACTGTGCGGGGCCTGATGAGCTGGGCTGAGGTGGGACTCATCCCAAGGGCAGAGGGAGCCACACAGGGGCTTAGATCAGAGAGTGGTGAGGCCAGAGTCTCTATGGCATCTGCAGGAAGGCCCAAGGTCACGTTGGCTGTGGGCCAGGCCGTGGAGATGGTCAAAGGTTTTGGGGTGCAAGTTACTCCCTGTCATTACAACCCAGTGCTCGGGGCATCAGCTGGGCAGCTGAGAAACCCAGAATCTCAGAGCTGGAAGGGACTAGGCCATCATGTGGCTGAGGAGACAGGCCTATGACAGGCGAGGGCCTCACCCAGTGTCATCTGGTGGGCCCGGGGCAGCAATGGCAACTTGTACCTAGTTTGCCGGCCCCTTCCCCCGTGCCAGTTCCCAGCCAGTCCTACCATGGGTAGATGTGAGTGAGGCCAGGTGTGTGACCATCTCTTCAGACTGGAATCTGGGCTCAGCCCTGTGTGGGCACCTTCTTGCTCCCTGTGTGAGACCAGGCTGGTGGGGTGGGCCATTCCCATGCTGGGTTCTCCCAACATGGAAGCATCCCTAGGTGCCAGGGCTGAACTGGTCTCGTGGGTCTTGCCACATCAAAGCTCCCATAGCTGTAGGACGTGGGTGCTAATATCCCCTTTTCACTGGCACAGGAGCTGAACCATGCACCATGCGTGCCCTCTGACCCTAGAGCGGCCACGCAGATGCCCCGTCTCTAATGGTGAGGGCAGTCTTTGGATTCTGTGTCAGCCCTGCCCTTAACCAAGAGGGAGCGTGGCTCTTGTCTCTTGGCTTCAGTGTCCTCAGCTCTCAAAGGGGCTCCTGATCCCCGCATGGCCTCCTTTCTGGGCCTTGAGGAGGGTAGGAACAGGTAGAGGCTGCCATACTGGGCAAAGCAGCCTGTCCCCTCCCCTCACTTGGTCCCCGTCAGGCTCTGCAGTGTCCAGAGACTACCAGGTTCCGCCGGAGGCCCTGGACTTGGCTGGGGCAGCTTCAGCACAGCCCTGTGTTCCAGAGGCACCCATGTGCCCGCTGGCCTGCCTCCTGGTACGGGACCTGGCCTCTGAGGTCAGACCAAGCCGGGTTCAAATTCCTGCTTTGGCAGGGTGATGGGTTTACTACCTGAACCAGGTCAGAGACTTGGATTTTAGGCCAGATCTCACCTCTTTCTGGCTGTGTGACCTCGGGCAAATCATGCAACCCCTGTGGAACTCAGTTTCTTCATTTACAGGATGGGGCCAGTGAGGGCACCAGCTTTAAAGTTATGATCTATGAACATGAGGGCCCAGTGAACAGACACTGGCACATCGTGCCCATGACTGAGTTGGTGAGGTCAACTGGTAGACTGAGGCATCCACAGCTGCCTGGCCCTGCCCTTTGGGCCCTTCTGGGCCTCCTTTCTGGCTCAGGCCCCACTTGACTTGCTGGGCGCTGGCCCCTCTTCTGATTGCTGTGCTCTGTCCTCATCCTCTTCTCCCTTTATCCACCCCAGGTGATCTCTCTGGCCACCTCCTTGCCTACCTGAGCCTCAGCCCCGTCTTCGTCATAGTTGGTTTCGTGACCCTCATCATATTCAAGCGGGAGCTGCACACGGTAAGTCTGTCCCTGCCCGGCCCTGCCCGGCCCTCCACTGCCCCCACGCCAGGGAGGGGGCGCTGCACCGCTTCATCCTGGGTGCTTTGCTTTCTCTTTCCTGCCCCCGCCTTTCTTGAGGTGTGCGGGGCTTCCTGGCCGAGTCGGGCTTGTTCACTAGTTGGGGTGGGAGGTTCAGGTAGATGCCACAGTCTCTGGGCCTGGGTGCTGACCAGCAGGCACACAGAGGCCCAGCTGACCACACATCTTCCTGGCAGATTTCATTCCTAGGGGGCCTGGCACTGAACGAGGGGGTCAACTGGCTGATCAAACACGTCATTCAGGAGCCACGGCCCTGTGGAGGTAGGGCCTGGGTCGTGGGGCCTGGGGGGGGGGGGGTCCCCCGGACAGAACATGACTGGGAGGCCTGCAGCCTCCCATCCCGCTCTGTTCTCTCTCTCCCAGGCCCCCACATGGCAGTGGGCACCAAGTACGGGATGCCCTCCAGCCATTCCCAGTTTATGTGGTTCTTCTCCGTCTACTCCTTCCTTTTCCTGTATTTAAGGTGAGGTTCTGCCCTGGCCGGGGTGGCCCTGAACTGACCCAGGCTGGCCTCTGCCAGGGACTCTCTGTCAGCTCTTTGGACACCCCTGGGGCTTGGCCTCTGTCGGGGTGGGAGGAGCTGCAGCCAAGGAGAAGGTGCCCAGGCAGCATTTGGATGGGACCAGGGGCTGGTGGGGAGGCCTGGGCTCCAGGCTGGGGGCTGAGGCCGTCTGACAGGCCTGTTTTCCCAGAATGCACCAAACAAACAACGCCAGGTTCCTGGACTTGCTGTGGAGGCACGTGCTCTCCCTGGGTCTCCTCACCGCGGCCTTTCTAGTCTCCTACAGCAGGTACGGAGGGAGGGAGAGCCCCTGCCCCCTGCCCTGCCCACTGGGGTCCTGCTGGATTCGTGGTCCCTGTTGGACCTGCGTATGGACCCGAGTCCCAGAGGCTGTAGAGCAGGGCTGGGGAAGGGGTCCCAGGCCTCTCATTTAAAGGGCTAGGACTCTGCTCCCCCTTCCAGCCCAGTCCTTCCTCTCTCCTCCGGGCCGAGCCCACAGTTCTGGGGACACCTGCACACATCCACCGTCTGTTCCCTGTGTCCCGGAGGAGCTTATTGAAGACAAACTCAGAGCCGAAGGCTGGACAGAAGGGAGGCAAATCCCAGCCGAACCATCCCTTCACTTCTGTGGTTGGGGGAGCAGCTGTTGGAACGAGCATCTCCTTCTGAAAGTAGATCGGAGGCTGTGTGTTCATAGGAGTCTCTCCTATCTGTGTGTGTCTCCCCGTGTGCACGCACAGGTCCCTGGGAAGCCAGCGCTTGGGCATGGGGGGACTGTGCAGGCCTGTGCCCAGCTGGGTCTCATGAACTTCCCTCTGTCCTTGGCCCAGGGTCTACCTGCTGTACCACACCTGGAGCCAGGTGCTCTATGGGGGCATTGCTGGGAGCCTCATGGCCGTCGCCTGGTTCGCCTTCACCCAGGAGGTCCTCACCCCGCTGTTCCCTAGGATAGCAGCCTGGTAACTGCCTCCTGGCCCTGTGGCTGCCCCATCCGCCTCTGCCCTCAGCCTCTAGCTCCCTGGGAGGGTGGCCCTAGTGTCCCCGTCTCTGGTGGGCATGGGCTGCGGGTCCTGCTTGCCTGGCGTCCTCCTCCCCCAGGGGTTTCTTCAGGCCCAGAAGCCAAGGGGCCACCCTCTGCACCTAGGCTCTCAGGGATTTAGGAAGCAGCCCGAGGCCTGCTGGGCTGTGTGTACCGTGGGGCAGCGCCCCTGCCTGGGTATCACACAGGTGACACATCTGGGTCTCTTTGTGGCTTCTGGGTCACAGGCCAGGCAAAGATTCTCTGAGCAGTGGGGGAGGGTGCATTGCCAGCCCTGGGCACTGGTGGGGGAGTTTGGCTTGGTGATAGGCTCATGCCCTGATGTGGTCCTGGCTTTCTGGATGTCTGTTTCTCCAGGCCTATCTCTGAGTTCTTCCTAATCCGAGACACGAGCCTCATTCCCAACGTACTCTGGTTTGAGTACACAGTAACCCGGGCAGAAGCCAGGTGAGTTAGGGGCCAGCAGTCACTGGGTCCTGGCTCAGTGGGACAGAACCCCACAGCGCCCACTGCCCCCCTGTTTGGAGGGCTCCCCAATAGCCAGCCATTTGCCTCAGCACTTTTCTTGCACTACCTCATTGAACCTTCCTCTGGGTCCCATTTTACAACTGAGAAGGTGAGGCTCAGAGAAGAGAGGAGGAGTTGCTTGACTGGGGACTTGCAGATGGTGGGTGTGGGAGCTAGGCAGGGAACCTGGCTGTCTGGCCCAGAGCTGTGCTTTTAGCCTCTGTGGCCCAGAATGAGAGAGCTGGGCAGCTAAGATTCTCAGGGTGGCTGAATGTGGATACTCCTTGGATTTGTTTAGTCCAGATACTTTCCTACAGATGGGTAAACTGAGGCACAGGGAGTTGGGGCTGCCCATGGATGCATAGCAAGTCAGAACAAAGGTGGGCTGTGGAGCCTCCTGACTCAGCTCTCCCTCTCCACTCACCCCAGATCCTGGGTGGGGTTCCAGCTGGGCTGGGGAAGGCCCCGTTTCTTCCCAGGTTCAGAGGGGGAGCTGAGGTGAGGTGAGACTCCAGAGTAAGCCTGGGAGGTTTCCTGACATGCTGGTGAGAAGAACCCTGGGGCAGCCGGGGCCCTGATTGTAGCATCCGGGAAATGTGTCTGGGGCATCATGGTCCAAATTATCCTAATGAGCTTAAGGGTAAAGCCTGGGATCCATGAGGAAAGGGGATTTGAGGGGGTTAGGGCAGGCAATCCCATTATTGCCCATTATTGATGGAAGGGCCCCAGCTGGCCCAGGCGCCCCACCTGGCCCCACCTGGCTGGCCGCCACCTGCTTTCAGCAACCAGAATTTCCATGAGCACCTGCTCTGGGCCAGGCCATGTGCTAGGGGGTAATACAGAGGGAGACAGTCACGGTAGGCAGGGGAGACATGAGGAATGAAGCACCTGTCTGTGCAATCTGTGTCCTGGGCCTGGGAGCTCGTGACAGGATCCTGATTGGAGGTGCCCGGGGGAGGAGGCAGACCTGAGTGTGGAGCAAGAGTGGGCCTGTTGAAGTGGGGGTGGCAGAGAGTGTGCTCTCCGCAGAGGAAACAGCACCCTCAAAGCTTCTAAGGCAGGACAAAGCTTGGTGAGTCCACCAAACAGAGGCAGGTGTGGTTGGAGCCCAGGGGACAAGGGGACAGAGCAGGGGATGAGGCTGGGGCCACATCGTGCAGGACATGTGGGCGCAGTTAGTTTTCTGAATTTTATTTATTTATTTATTTATTTTAAAGATTTTATTTATTTATTTGACAGAAAGAGACAAAGCGAGAGAAGCAACACAAGCAGGGGGAGTGGGAGAGGGAGAAGCAGGCCTCCGGCCAAGCAGGGAGCCCGATGCGGGGCTCGACCCCAGGACCCTGGGATCATGACCCGAGCTGAAGGCAGACGCTTAATGACTGAGCCACCCAGGCGCCCCGAGATTTCTGAATTTTAAATGGGACTCTAGACAAGTCCATTCTCCTTTCTGAGCCTCAGCCAGCCCCTCTAGAAAATGGGGGAGATTGTCCTTGCTTCCCTCAAGTTCCTGGGCCCATCGTGGATATAGCCATTTCCCCAACCAGATACTCAAATCCCCTGTAGAACATCCATCAGTAGTTCTACGTTTGCCTACACAGCTCCAGGTGGAGAACTGTCTTTTTGTCTGTTTCGGTTAATGATAACAGAACCCTGCTTGTGTTGGCTTATCTGTAATCCCCAGCATTAGTTGGATTCCAGCCAGGTCCCTCTGACCTCAGGCCTCATCCCTGGCCCACCTCTGCCCCAGTGTCTTGACTGGGTTCCTGAACTCCAGAACTGAGACATCTGGGTTACAGACCCAGCCTGAGACATTGATCCTCTCTGGGATTCCAAATCCCAGGTGCCAGGGCAGGGAGCTCTGATTGGCCCAGTTTGAGTCCGGGGTGGGCAATCACCCATTTTGATGGGACTATGGATAAGGAGGGGACACCTGAGGGCATGGCTCACTGAATGCCAGGGGTCCCCTCATTTGACCCCTAAGCATCCTGACATTTGACCCCCACCCCCGCTTTGTAGGAACAGACAGCGTAAGCTGGGGACAAAACTGCAGTGACCGGTGAGTGTGGCTGGGTCCAGCCTCCAGATCTGGCCTGCACGATGCCTTGCAGGATGGACAGAATGACAGACAGAGGGATGAAGCAGAGACCTCTACAGACCCAAGTCACCAAGTGGAGCCTTTTTTTTCTTATTTTAATTTTAATGAACAAGGTGGACCAAAGGGCCGAGCCAGCCCCTCAGCCCAGGACCCTGGGGGGCCTGCTGCCAGGGGGCCACACGGCCAGAGACCCTCGCTGTGCTGCTGCCAGCCCCTGGTCAGGCGGAAAGTGCCCTGGGCACTGGGGTGTGGTGTAGAAGAGGAGGGCTTGCGCCTCTGGTCGCAGGGCCAGGAAATCCAGGTGGCGTGAGAAATACATACTATTTATTTTGGGGTTTTGTCAAAGGCAGATGGGCTTTTGGAGACGGGGCCGGAAGAGGCTGCCTGCTCTGCCGTGGTTGGCCTGCAACAGAGGAGGGGCCGAGGTCAGCCCGCCCGGGGCCCAGGGGACACGCCGCCTCGCCCTGGGCCAGAGAGGTGGCGTGGGGGCCCCGGTGGAGGGGAGCACCCCCATGCCCTCCCTGCCACCAATGCCATTCCAGAACCTGGTTCAGTGTTTCCTTGTCGGGGGGGCGGGGCCCCGAGAGCGCGCATCTGGCGGCTGCTATCATTGTGCCCTACCCGTACCGACCCTGCACCACAAGGGCTTTCTCCGGTCCCCTGTCCCCAAGACAGTGGTCCCCTTCTGACAAAAGAGCCTGCACATGTGGGTGAGCGAACCCAGGCTGTTTACAGCTCTTTTTTTGTCCTGCCATCCAGTAGCCGTTAGTTGTCAAACTCTACCCAGACAGAGTGCAGAGGAAGCAGGAGCCGGGTGAGGGGAGCGGAGCTGGGGGCGCCTGATGTCTCTGTCCTCCCTTCCCCTCCCCTCTGTGTGCTCGGAACACTCCCTTGTCCTTCTTGACACCCTCCGAGAGCCTGGGCGCTTGTCGGGCATCCTCAAGCCTGTGTCCGGGGTGTGGTTGCACAGGTCCCCACTGTCCAGTGTGGGGGGGCGGCTGCTCCCGAAGGGACCCGACCTCTGAAGTCACTCTCAAGTGGAGTTGTGGAGAAGAGATGCTTCCAGACTCTGGAAGTTTCTAAACCTGAACCAGGCTGCTCGGGACCTGTGTTCCATACCCCGCCCCCGACCCTTTTTCTTTGTGGAGGTTCCTAATCTGCTGCTGAAGCACAATATTTCGGTGCTTTCTTTTCTCATTTGTTAAAGACAGCGTCCAAAAGCCATTCCAGATGCCAGGACCAGGGGCCTATTTCTGGGGAAGGTTGGTCAGTCCCCACGTTTTCCTCCCCTTCCTTTCTTATTTTTATTTTTTATTTTTTGCCTGAGACAAGCCAAGTGTGAGGTGGTTTGATTTAAGAAAAATCAATGAAATTGTTTACTATTGTTTTAAAATAAAACCTTGAACTCTGGCAGCTCGAGCATATGTTGCCTGAGCTCATGAGAGGAGACTGGGGGGTGGCCGTGGGGACATGCGACCCTGAGGGGCAGGGATTATGGTTAACACCATAAAATCATAAGCATCTCCAAGACATCTAGTCCCTTCCAGCCCCCAGACCTGGGGTTTGAACAGTCCCTGTGACATTTCGCACCAGTGTCTGAGGAGACCTCGCTGCCTGCTGTTCAGCCGCAAGTTGCCCCTTCCGGCGGTCCTGCTCCGCCCCGCCGCGTGGTCCCGGCTGGCTCTGGCGCTGCCCTCGGCCTCACTGCCCCCTCCGTGGGACAGCCCTCGAGGACTGGGCAAGCGTGCCCTTCCTAAGCCTCTGCCGCCTCCACTCCCTGTTTAACTCAGTGTCTTGCTTTGGAAGATACAGCTGCAGGCTGAGCCGCGTGTTTGGAGGTCTTGTGGGAGTGCCATGGGTATCAGGTCATCCCCAAGGGCTGGCCCGTGGTAGGGAGTCTACTCCTTCCTTGATCCATGCAGCAGAGATGCAGAACGACCACCCTCAGTCAGGGTCAGGGTGAACCAGAACTATCTGTCCTCACATGAGCCCGGAGGTTGGGTTTGGATCCCTGCTGGGTCCACAGAACCTTGACATTCAGTTATGTTGACCTCACCCCAGGTATGTGGCAGAAGCAAACAAATCTCTGGAGGAAACTTCATCCAAGACCTATTTGTGTACATAGTTTTTGAAGATTTTATTTATTAGAGAGAGAGCACAAGCGGGGGCAGAGGGAGAGGGACAAGCTGACTCTCGTCTGAGCACAGAGCCTGACACGGGGCTCGATCCCAGGACCCTGAATTTGGACCTGAGCCAAAGGCAGACGCTTAACCAACTGAGCCACCAGGCGCCCCTGCGTAAAATGTTTTTAAATTATGGTGCACAAAATACAGACCGAGACGGCCAGGTACAAAAGGAAGTGGGGCCATGACTGAGAACTAGCAGAAAGCAGGCGACGGAGGCAGACCCATAGATACCAGGATGATACTGGAATGATCAGGCACAGACTAAATTGTTCTACTGTTTTAAGGAAATAAAAGACAAACTTGAAAATATCTGTAGGGGACAGGAAACTAAAGTGAGATCTGGCAGATGTTAAAATGAATCAAATGTGAAAAATAGAATAGCTAAGAAACAAGAACCCAATAGGTAGGTGCAAGGCAGACTGGACACAGTTGAACAAGCAAGCTGGAGGACAGGTGGGACAAGATCCAGCAGGCAGGGAGGAGAGAGGAAAGGAAAGGGGTTGCCCAGTGAGCTCTGGGGGTTCCCTGAGTCCCAGGTAGACTCGCTGCCTTTACCCCCATTAACAGCTCCCCGCCCCTGCCCACCATCCCCACCTTTAGGCAGCCCAACTTGTCCCGTTCAGTCTGGGCCCCAAGCCTAGCTGACTCTACTTCATACTTGATAAACATCTTTCAAATGTCTGTCTCGTTCCACCTGCCAGGCCGCTCTGGGTCCAGGTCCCTCCCTGGAGACCGCGAAGCCTCTGCCCATGGCTCCCTCATCCGCAGCCCAGCCAGGCCCCCTTCAACCCATTGCTCAGCATCTTCCTAAAACACCATTCTCACTGTCTTGGGAGAGTCCCCCTGTATGGGGCCCTAGGTGGTCTGGCCTTCACCTCACCTGGCAGGCTCCAGCCCCTGCGCTTTCCCAGTGAAAAGAGCCCAAAGCAAGTTCATGCCAACCTAGACAAACTTTTAGGGGACCTAGGTAAAAAACAAGTAATCTTTCATTCATTCATTGTGTCATTGTTTCGATTTTAATAATGTATTGCACAAAATTTATTTATTTACAACTTGTATCTTTTAACCTTCAGATTAGCTTTTTTTTTTTTTTTTTAAAGATTTTATTTATTTGTCAGAGAGCGAGAGAGAGAGCACACAAGCAGGGGGAGTGGGAGAGGGAGAAGCAGGCTTCCCGCAGAGCAGGGAGCCCGATGCGGGGCTCGATCCCAGGGCCCTGGGATCATGACCCGAGTCGAAGGCAGCCGCTCAACTGACTGAGCCACCCAGGTGTCCCTGTACAAAATATACTTAGAGCCATTCTTTTTCACTCACACTTTGCAAAAAACCCACAGAAAACCACCACCACCCCCAAACCAAGTTCTTCATCTGCATCATTGGCATCAGGGTCTGCTGGCTCCCGGGGCCAACAGTCCTCTGGGTCCACTGGCTAAGCGCATGACACTATCCCTAGAAATTTTATCCCAAGATGCAAGTGTCCATTGGCATAACATTCAGTTGGTTTTATTTATTTTTATAAATAAATAAAATCCAGACAGTTGGATTTAAAAACTCAATCCTGGGGCGCCTGGGTGGCTCAGCCGTTAAGCATCTGCCTTCGGCTCAGGTCACGATCCCAGGCTGCTGGGATCGAGCCCCGCATCGGGCTCCCTGCTCCACGGGAAGCCTGCTTCTCCCTCTCCCACTCCCCCTGCTTGTGTTCCCTCTCTCACTGCCTCTCTCTCTCTCTGTCAAATAAATAAATAAATAATCTTAAAAAAACAAAAACAAAAAAACTCGATCCTGTAGGAGTGTGTCATCTCCCCAACACCTCCCACAGTGTCCAGAGACCTTTAGAACGCTTGTTCCCCCATGCAACACTCGCAGAGTGTGAGGTCACATGTCATGCCCTCAGGAATAATGACTAAATCAGTGTTCTTTTGCCTTCCGCTCACCCCCACCCCACCCCCAGCCTTCCGTCTAACACTGCTTGGGGTCATCTGTGCTAAATGCGTCTTCTCCAAATGGTACTTTCAGCCCTAGAGAACTGAGTGAGCCTCTGTAGCAGTTCCTCACTCCTGAAGGATCGTTTTGCCTTATATTCAGACCCGTGCACTTCTTAGAACTCGAGCCTCCGGAGCCCTGGGTGTCTGTCCAGGCAGTGTCCTCGGCCTGGATCCCTCTCGCTGCTCCCCTGCTGCCCCAGGCTGGGTTGGGTGTGCGCCTCCCTGCAGTACCAGGGCTCACCTGTGCACTCACTCAACTCCTGCAGTGGGCCTGCTCCCGAGACTCCCAGTAGCCCCCTGGGGGAGCAGCACCACCTCCATGATACGGACGAGGACACCCGGGCCCAGGGAAGCCAAGGGCCAGCCGAAGCTCTCCAGCGGTGGAGTAGAGGCTGTGTCCTGTGGGGTTCTCTGGCAGGCCTTCCTGCTCACGGCCCCTAAGACGAGGGCACTCCCGTACCCCTTCCCTTGGCATCCACCCCACCCTACTGGCCGTGCTGGGGTCCTGAGTGGCCAGGCCTAGGACAACACCCACTCCCCCCGTTTTCTGGGCCCCTCTTGCTCCCTGGGACTTTGAGCAAGGGGCACACCCTGTCCTAGCCTCATCAGAGAACAGGGACGCCGAGTCCCCACCTGTGTGGCTGTGAGGAGGCCCCATTAGGCTGGACGGTCCCCAGTGCCTAGCACAGGTTAGTTTCACCTGTCAGTGCCTTGGTCCAGCTGGCGCCTTCCTGTGCCTCCCGGGCTGGGGCCCTCTATCCTCCTTCATCACCAGCTCAGGGGCCCGAGTCCAGGCCGGTTTCCACCCCGGGCTCCTTTCTCCTCCACCTGCTGCCCTGGGGTTGTCTGAGTGGGTCTGGTGTTGGCGCTGGGTGCTTGGCTATGTGGGCTCCTCTGGAAATGTCTCTCTGCCACTATTAGTGGCCTGGTGACCTTAACCTCTCTGAGCTTGTTTCTGCGTCTGCAAAATGGAGAAAGCCAGAGGATCTACCCTCACGTGATTGTCCCGAGTCAGCCAGGTCGCGTCACTCACAAGCTCTGCGACCTCTCCCACCTCCACCTCCTCAGCCCCTGTTCTGGGGAGTTTCATAGGTGCCTTCCCTAGGGCCAGTATCCTTCTGAGTAGGAGACTCTTCTCTCCATGAACAGCCTACTTGATTTTGGCAGGGCACCCTGGCCCTGTGAGGTGTGGGTGGTTGGGGACACGTACAGGGTTCTGATCAGCTGGCCGCATGACGTGGTGTCTGCTAGGCCCTGGCAGCACCTGGGGCTGGGCCGGGCTGAGCAAGGCTGCTTGGCCGTGGCCGCTGCCGGCTCAGTGTGTGTGTGTCGGGGCGGCAGGACGAGGCCCTGAGAGTCGGCTCCACACTGCCTAGCCCGCCACAGCTGCGGCCGTGAGGGCCCCCAGCCCCACCGGGAGAGTCGTTCCCACCCACAGCCCATGGACAGGGAGGCCCAAGTCAGTGGAGACTGCAGCCCTGGGTCTGGTGCCATTCCCGGCTAAGTGCCCTGAGGTCGGCATTGGCCTGCAGCTCCCCAGCCGAAGCCGGAGAACCCTCCTCTTGGCTGCTCTGGGAGCCTCCGGGCCTGCTGGCTGCTTGGACACTGGCTCCCAGATGCAGGCCAAGTTGAGAGAAGGCAAAGCGTCTGCCCCACCTCGCCTGCCCCCTCGGCTCAAACACCTCTCCACCGACAAATTTCTGCTTTATTAATCAGTCACCTTGCATGTTACTGTTATACAACCATCAACATGGTTCAGGAATCAAGCTGAGTGGAAGCAAGTGAGTCGGGGCTCAGGAGCCACATGATCCAAAAGAGCACAGCAACCCCCCTCCCCCCCGGGGAAGACAGTACTGCCAAGCAGGGTGGGCCGTGTCGAGGCCTTGGGTTTCCCTTACCAGCACACCCTGCACCCTGGCCTCAGCCTCGGGGAGGCCTGGAGCCCCTGGCTCTAGAGAGTCCTGGCTCTAGATCCTTAGGAGCCAGCAGTGTAGAGGGCAGGGGGCTGGCTAGAGCTGAGCTAGCAAGAAAAGGACTTCCCAGTCTGCTGCCCTAGCGAGGGACGGGCTCTTTGGGCTCCTTCCCCTGGAGGTGGGCTCATGGGTGACGCGCTGGGCGCCAGGGCCTTCCGTCCTACTCAGCCTCTGAACTCAGCCCAGGATCTGGGCCCAGCAAATGCTGGGGATGACCCCATGGAAGGCCCTGGCTCAGGCCTGCAGGCCCTGCATTAGTCAGATCTGCAGGGTCCGGTGGGGAGGGAGCAAAGGCGCGGAACGTTGGTGGGCGGCCCACTCCCGGGGTGGGCGTGGCTGTGGCGCCGGCAGGCCTGAGCACAGGGGGCTCACAGCTTGGCCCGAGGGTGGTTCTGCAGCAGTGCGCGCATGTCCAGGAGTGCCTTCTCCAGGTAGTGCGCCAGGCGGGCTGCGTTGGTCTCGGCACAGCTGTTGTAGGCCGACACGGAGAAGTTGATGTGAGCCTCCATGGGGTTATAGCAAACGCCATAGCCATCTGGGACCACGGGCCCAAAGAACATGACACAGTCTGTCTTGGCAGGGACCTGGAGACAGCACAGGACTGAGGCTTCCGTCCTACCCCACGGGCTCCCCTCCAGCCCCGCGGTGGCACCAGCCGGCCTTTCTATATCTCTGCTCGCACTGTGCTCTGCCCGAGACGCCCCTTCCTCTTCTCCAGCAGATGCCTTCCTTCTCCTCCTCCTTTGGGGCGCAGTTCTGGAGTCAACCCTCTATGGAGCTGTCCTTGCCATTCCCGAGGGAGCTTTAAGTGCTCCCTCCTTGAGCCTCCCCTGACCCCCAGCACTTCCTGGGGCGGGGAGGGGGGGAAACGTCACTGCCTTGGTCCCTGTGCTCCCAGCCTACACTGTGAGCCCCCAGGGACACAGGATGGTGGTCTGTCCCTGCTGTGTTCCAGTGCCCAGCACTGGATGGCATGACTCAGACGTTCCTTCGTGTCTGACCAGTGAATGAATGAAGGTGATTCTCCCACAGTGGGGGGGGGGGGGGGGAGAACTCTGACTCCTTCTCAGCCTCCCTGAGCTGCAGCACAGCCCCCTGACCCCAGCTCTTCCACCAGAACTCAGTTCTTCAGCAGTGGACATGGGGGTGGCCTCTATGGGTCACGCCACCACCAAGGTTTGACCATGTTCTGGACTTTGGCTCTATTCAGTGGAGCCTTTGTCCAGCTCCAGCAGGGTCTGTGCCATCCCACCCCAGGGCACCTAGGGCAGTGGCGGGGGCCCGGAGGGCAGGAAAACCCCGATGGCTCCGGGGCAGTGGCCCACCTGGCTGGTGGAGAGGTTGAAGTGCATAGCGACGGCGTAGGAGGTGTCCATAAAGATGTCGGGCATGCTCACCAGGTCCTCAATGGCCTGCAGCTTCAGGCCCAGCAGGTGCCGGTCGAAGGCCTCCCCGCGGATGGCCTGTGAGAGGGGAAGCCATCAGGCGCAGCGGCTGCAGGCCCAGAGGGTGCCCCTGACCTTCCTCAAAGGCCTGTGGCAGCAGCGCCTCTTCCACACGGTGGTCCCTTGGACTCCCAAGACCAGAGCGTCCAGGCAGTACAGCCCTCCCGTTACAGATGGGGAAACTGAGGCCCAGGGACCTGTCCAGGGAGGGACCAGGGCAGGATTTAAGAACACAGGCCTACAGCGGGGTGGCCTGGCCCCATCCTGGCTATGGGGCCTTGGCAGGTCACTTACATCCTGGAGCCTCAGTGTCTTCATCTATAAAATGGGGATGGTCACTGAATTTCCTTTTACAGGGTGGCAGTGAGATCGAAATGGACATCTGCATGGAACGTGGGCCGAGCCCGGCGCACACAGGTGCTCAGAGCCAGATGGAAACCCAGGCCTCCACCCTCCTGACCACCGCCCAAGCTGTCAGAGGGCAGGACCGCTGCTGTTGGCCAGACCCTGCAAACCCTCAGCGTCCTGGGCTCCCGGGACATTGAGGAGAGAGCATGACGCAAGGGTTCTGGGGCTGAGCCAGCAAGATCCAGAGGCTAACCCGGGACCAACAAAGTCACTGGGCTGAGCCTTGGTTTCTCCAACTTTAAAACGGCAATATTCAGCCTGGCTCCAGGTGCCCCAAGTGCCCCAAGGTTTGGGGAGGAGGGGTTTGTGTTAAGGGTGAGCAGCATTTGCTGCAGGGATGGACAGGCAGATGGACAGCTGGGAAATGAGGTCGTTCGGTCACCTGGTCGGCGTAGGCTCGGTGGGCTTGCACGGCCTTCCGCAGCAGCTCCACCTTCTGGTGCTCCTAGGGGGTGAGGGAGTTGAAGTATATGTCCCTTCCCTGTTCCTGCCGCCCACACCCCAGCAGCCCACTTCCCAGCCAGCACTGGAGTCCACGCCCCCTGAGAGCAGAAATGGGAACTGCCCTCTCTCTCGTCAGTCCTTCTCCGAGGCCTGACCCATAGGGCAGAAGCTCGCTGCAGATAAGTGAATGAACAAACAGTTCCTTTTAGTCTTCGGCTGCCAGGAAGCTCAGGGCCAAATCATGACTCCACCTTCTGGGAGATTCCCAGCACCCAGGGGTTGAAGGGTTGGAAGGACAGTAGGTGCTCAATCACTGGTGTGATGACAGAACGTATAGGAAGGGAGACCAGCTTGCCCACCCTTACCCTGGACCACTCACCGACACGCTGGGGTCATCCATGGCTTTGACGAAGGCCAGCGAGTCCACGGAGGCGGAGCGGATGGTGTCGGTGCGGCCCAGGTGAAACATGCGCAGGGAGGCGCTCTCGTACGTGGCACACGCCTGTTTGTAAATCCTGGGTGGGAGAGGGGGCTGAGCACCCCCCTGGCAGGTGGCCCCGCCTCCACCCCCAGGCCTCATGCCTCCTCCACCGGCGGGGTGGGGGCGGGGCGCACCGGTAGTAGGCCAGCTGTAGGGCCATCTGGACAAAGGCGTCGGGGCTCAGCTTCTCCGCCTTGGGGAAGTCTTTTCCAAAGTGGTGGAACACCATCACCATGATGTCCAGGTCCTGGATCATGCTGGGGTGGGGTGAGAGGGAGCTGGGTGAGGGGCAGGCAGCATCTGGCAGCCCCTGGCTGCCCAAGGGAAGGCCCAAGAGCAGGCTCAGTAGCAGCCGGGTATGACGACAGACCCAGAACAGGAGCCCGGCAGGCTCCAGGGACCCGGGCTTTTACCCTAACTTAACCATCTGTGCCCGGTGCTTACATGCTGAGATTCTGCCTGGCCTTTTCAATGTCACTCTTGATCTCGGGGGTGATGTTGAACCGCAGCTTCTTGGGCATGGGCAGGGGCACCATGGGGGACCGCACAAGCTCGGGCTTCTTCCTGCATGGGACACGAGGAGGCCTCGGGAGCCTGGGGTGGGGGTGGGGCACAGGTCCCCGAGGCTGGAGGGGGCCAGCCTAGGGAGACCCTGGGTTTGCTCCTTAGAAAAATGCCTTCGCCCCAGCTTTCTAGGAGCCACATGGAGGAGGCCTGCAGAGGGGAGGGGACTTGTCCGAGGTCCTGTAGCTGGGAAGTGGCAGAGCCGGAAGGCAAACCCAGGTCTGACAGACTCTACGCCCAGGCCTTCCTTCCTCCAGCTTCATTTGAAGAAACAGATTCCCAGGCCCAAGGGAGAGGGGCGTTCCCCATGTGTGTCACCTATCACCGGGAGCTAGGGAACTGGGTAGAGGGTGGGACAACCACACTCACGTGAACTCGATGACGTGGTCCACAAGGGCAATGATGGGGGGGCCCTCTGCTGCTGCATGCTCATAAACAAGCCCACAGGAGCCATCTTCTGCCACAATGAACTATGGAGGGGAGCAGGGACCCGTCAGGCCCAGGGCCCTGGAGCCACTCTCTGCTGGCTGGGTCCGTGGGAAGCACCTCTCTGAAGCCATCTCAGGGGTTAGGCTGACTTATGATTGTTATTAGTAACAGCTAATGCTCAGCAGGGGCCTTGGGCCCATTCCAGGCCACAGCAAGCACATCGCATACTCATACACCTCACTGAGTCCCTGCACTACCCTCCCTGGGGGTCATTTTACAGGCGCAGAGAGGGAAAGTCACGGCCAAGACCGCGTCGCTCTGCCTGGCCCCACAGCCCAGGCTCTCTCTGATGTGCTGCAGGGGCGACAGCGGTTTCTGGGCCAGGCCCACTAATGACAGGCTAACCGCCTGGTAATTACAGCCACGTCCACCTGCTGGCTTCCCACCTGTTTTACTAGCTGGGAGGCCAGGGACACCCAGGCGAGGGGCAGGAAGTCCTGAGGCTGCAGTGGGCCAAGTTTGGGTGTGCGTCCTGGCCCCGCCGAGGCCTCACCTGCAGCGTCTTGTCGAACCAGCGATTGCCACTGTTAAGCTTGCCCCCGCCCCCGTGCAGCATCTGGCCGGCCACGTGGCTGCGGTACACATCGTCTGAGACCCGGGGCATGGGGGCGTCCAGGCACAAGGTGAAGATGCTCTTCTGGATGGAGCGTACTGATTCCCGGTTCACCTTGTCTGTGGAGGCAGGCGGGAGGGGTGTGAGATGGGGCTGAATGTCAGGCCCGGGGAGGCCTCGGAGGCTTCCAGAGCATTCATCTCGTGTTAGGTGTGCGCGTCAGAGCTTTACCCTCAACAGGACCCTGTGGCTCCCCTGGCACCCCGTGAGGCAGGGCCCAATACCGGACCCACATTAGAAATGAGGAAACAGGGGCGCCTGGGTGGTTCAGTTGGTTAAGCGTCTGCCTTTGGCTCAGGTCATGATCCCAGGGTCCTGGGATCGGGCCCCGCATCGGGCTCCCTGCTCTGCGGGAAGCCTGCTTCTCCTTCTCCCACTCCCCCTGCTTGTGTTACCTCTCTCACTGTCTCTCTCTCTCTGTCAAATAAATAAATAAAATCTTTAAAAAAAAGAAAAAAAAAATGAGCAAACAGAGGGTCACCCAGCTGGCTCGTCAGAAGAGCCTGCAACACCTGATCTCAGGGTTGTGAGTTCGAGCCCCAAGTTGGGTGTAAAGATTTCTAACACAATAAAAATAAACTTAAAAAAAAAAAAAGAGGAGGGGCGCCTGGGTGGCTCGGTCGTTAGGCGTCTGCCTTTGACTCAGGTCATGGTCCCAGGGTCCTGGGATCGGGCGGGCCCTGCTTTGGGCTCTCTGCTGGGTGGGAGGTCTGCTTCTCCCTCTCCCACTCGCCCTGCTTGTGTTCCCTCTCTCGCTGTGTCTCTCTCTGTCAAACAAATAAATAAAATCTTA